CAAGCCGTGAGGGGTGCGTACAGCTGCTCTAGCCCCATCGTACATGTCCTTCACTATGGAGATGAGGTGTTCCGGAACGTTACGTTCTCTGAGCGCTCTCCAGAGTACAGGCCTTGGCAGGCGGTCGAATGCCTTCTCAAGGTCCAGGAAGGCTAGGTAGCAGGGTCGCCGCTTCTCTCGGTACTTCTCCATCAGCTGTCTGGCGATGAAGATGGCATCGGTGGTGGACCTCTCGGGCATGAAGCCGAACTGTTCCTGCGAGATAGGGACAAGTTCCCTCAGCCTAGTGTTGACCAGGCGCTCGTACAGCTTCATGGTATGGGGAGTCAGCTTGATCCCGCGGTAGTTGGAGCACTCCGTCGCGTCCCCTTTCTGTTTGAAGATGGGAACGATTGTGCTGCTCCTCCACGCATTTGGCATCCTTCCTTCAGCTGTTACGTTGTTTAGGAAGTGCGTGAGCCAACTCACCCCATGCTCTCCAAGGGCCTTCCATGCCTCTATCGGTACCCCGTCTGGACCCACTGCTTTCCCAGCTTTCATTCTCCCTAGCTCCCGGCGAACTTCATCCTTCGTCCAGGGAGTGATGGGACCTGCCGTCGCCTCTATCTGTGGGCTATCCTTGCGAGGGAATTCTTCGTTCAGAAGTCCCTCGAAGTATTCTTCCCACCTCTTCCTGACTTCGGCTGGTTTCCTGAGAATGGCCCCGTTGCTGCTCTTCACTGTCTTTACGACCCTGATGTCCTGAGCTGCGCGATGCCGAGCTTTAGCCAGGCGGAAGACGAACTTGTCCCCTTCTCCTTCCAGCTTGTCGTACAGGGCGTCCATTTCCGTATTCTTGGCCTTAGCAACGGCCGCCTTAGCGAGTCGCTTGCAGCTCTTGTAGGCAGCGTAGTCTTCTGGGCTCCGTGTCTTTTGCCAGCGTTTGTATGCTTCCTTCTTCTGCTTGACGATCCTCTGGACTTCCTCGTTCCAGAACCAGGCTGCCTTGTCTCCTCTGATACCACGCGTCTCTCCCAGGACCTCCCTTGCACACTGTAGGATGACCTCTGCTGCGTAGGTCCAGGTGTCCTGGACTGGCCCATGTGGGTCTGGGAGCCCAGCCTCCAGTATTCTTCGGCCGAGGCTATCCTTTTCTACCCTGCCCATTTTCCACCACCGAATTCTTCGCTCTGCTCTCACCCTTGTCTTCTTGGGGAGGTCTATGGCGATGTCTGCCAGGAGAGGCCTGTGCTGAGGGCCCAGCTCTTCCCCAGGCAGTACCTTGATATCCTTGACGGTTTTGAGAGACGATCTTCTGACCAGGACATGGTCGATTTCCGTTTGTCTCCTCCACTGCTGTAGGTTACCTTTTGGGTCCTCCTTTTCGCGAAGAAGGTGCTGCAGATTGCTAAGTCGTGGGCTGTTGCTAGGTCAAGGATTCGTCCTCCCTCAGCGTTCTTTGTCCCTATTCCTTGACCTCCGTGCCGTGCACTCTTTCGAGAGCCACATTCTGTCCTCCCACATGACGCATTGCAGATCTCCAGCTATGGTGAGATAGTCCTCTTCCGGAACCGATCTTATGGCCTCGTCCAGGGTCAGGTAGAACTCATCCTTTTCGGCTTCAGAGCAACCGGATTGTGGTGCGTACACGGTCAGTACTGTCCAGTACCCCTCCTTCGTGTCCATTCTCACTCCCATGATCCGGTCACTGATCCTGTTCACAGTGGAGACGCAGTCCTTGAGGGATTCTGCCACCGCTATGGCAACGCCATTCCGTTTGGTGTCTGCTCCATTGTAGAAGAGTTTGACGCCTTCTCCAATCTCGCGGGCCTTCGCACCCTTCCATCGCGTTTCCTGCAGGCATAGGACTTGGATATTCCTGCGTCTCATGAGGTCGGCAACCTCACGAGACTTCCCGGTAAGCGACCCCACGTTCAGGGTCCCAATTCGGTTGCATAGCGGTTATTGGGCAACATGGCCAAATACTGCGTAATCCCTTAATGCCTACGGGAAACTCGTCCGAAACTGTTTTTGACTCATTGAGAACGGAGGCTTTTCTTCGCAGGTTTTTGGCCGTTTAACTTCGTTTTTCGCCATTTTCCCCACTATCTCTACTCCGACTTTAGATATAGTACGGAAATTATGGGCGCATTGGATATTCCTTTGAATTTACAGGCATGAACCCACACACATGCATAAACATCGTCAAAAAACTGCACACTTGATTGAATTGTAAGTTCAGGAAGTCAGTGTGATACATACAGTACTCCGAGAATTGTGGCCTGATTTTAATTGTGTGGAAATAGCAGCCGAGTGACTAGATCATCAATTTCTGGAGCATTCCTCACCGCGACACAGGTTTAGCTGCCACTTATTGAAGGAATTCTGATAGTCCGAAGAAATCAGGAGCAACCTCCTAGCAGAAGTTCGAATAAGTAGAGCAAAGAAGGTTTCTTGTTATCCGAATCGTAGCCTCACGTGGTGTTGCAGTGGCAATTGACCAGCTTACCGCCTCGCGGACTGCGCCTCGGATACCGGGCCATCTGGACTTTTAACCAGCTCGAAGACCTAATATTTAACAGATTCCGCCTGCGAGGATGAAGAAAGCGTCGTGTGACAAAGGGAATTAACATCAAACAAACAGGAAATCGTCTTGAGTATTGTTGAAATGTTTGAGCGAGCAGGTCTCTAGATGTTTTTTGACCATTTCAGGCTCTGACGAAGGCGAAGACGCCGAAACGTAGGCCTTCAATAAAGTTATTCGATCTTGGAAGGCTAGAAGAAATATAAGAACTATATACATCATGCCAAGACTGCAAAAAGTCGACCATGACTATTTCCTGGAATTAACAAACATTGAAGCATGCAACTCCTGATCGGTCATGCAATGGTCCTGATCATCCTTAATGATGGCCCCTGGCAACTTATTTGAAATTATATCGCCACTTATAAGAAATTCACCACCTCAAAAGAAAGCAGAGTGCATGCCGCATTCCAAACAAAGATTGATCACTGGAGAAGACTTTTGTTTCCCCTTTGCTCCTACCTGATGCGATAACAGCCTCATCATATGACTTCAGCCTTCAGAGTGACCTGATCTTCTGCTAGATGTTGTCCACAGGTGGCCAGCTCCACAATCACGATCACTAATATCACAGCACACCGTTTAAGGCAGAAATGGCTGTATCCCGCAACAAGATGCCAGTGTTGGGAGAGAACCTTCACAACTCTGGGATAATCGTTTTTTTTAAATTTCAGAAACTCTAAAGGAAGGTTTGAGTTCAGTGTTCCGAGGCGCCCACAAAGGTGTACACCATATAGCACATGGCCGCGTCGACATTTAGACCTTTTTTTGCCAGGAACTGCATCTGCAGAACGAGCCTTTCAGCAATAGAACAATCCCTGCTAGATCCCAGAGCGAACTCTGAAGAACCTTATATCAACTGAGCCATTCTCGAGCATTCGAAGCGAACTTCTAGTGGATTCATCCAAGATTTTGTTTCCTCATACAGTCGGAAGTGGAACAGCTTCATGCATGAATGAAAAGTGGTACGATTGACTTTACTCTCATGTAACCAGTTGTGGAAGTGAAGCTGGATTATCTCACTTGTCAAGGTGAAAGGAATCGCCTCAGGGAGCAATCGCTGACAAATCCCCTCGAACAGTCACCGCTCACACAATGGAACTTCGTTGGATAATCCATTTTAGGCAGCTGTAGCCGCACACCCGGTTTTATCCGGCAGCCTATAAAACGACTACGCCACTACAAGTCGCTCATCATGATCACTCGAATTATTTATCGTTCACATTATTCACAACTTTTCATAGCTATTTTATTACATCACGTCCAATGTTCCAGACGTAACACTTGTTTGCTGATTGCCTGAAGGCAGAAAATTTCACCAAAACTCTTTGGTATTCGCACCCAAGTATTCAACGGTATCGCCATTTACATAGCTTAGTAAGTACAAAGGATAAGGCAAACATTTAAAGCTCCTCAGTGTGCCATGCCTTCAACTTGCTCAAAAATCGCTGATCAATATTATTGCTGTTCGGCGCAAGGGTTGCAAGGTTTGCGGATGCTGTTCTATAGAGAAATCGGTATAAGAGTCCTCATTGCTATTGACCGAATGCGCTGGAGGAGAGCGACCTCAGATCACCAAGTTCGCCTAAAATTAGCTGGAGGATTTTGACTTCCTGAACACGAGTATCACATCCAGTTTGCACAAAGCAGCTAAACCCAAAAGCAGATATGCAGGCGATCCCTCCACACTCGTATGCGTCGACCCTCCAACGTTGGTTACTGACCCCCCCCCAGAGCAAGAAGCAGGTGCGCATACATCGTCTTTTATCCCTAACTCTGCTTACCACCATGCAAATGAGAGTATTGGTATTGGCAGATCAAACCTTGTGGAAACAAGTTTTCTGCAATCCTTCTGTTTTGAGTATTTCGGCATTAGTGCAATATTCGTGGCGCAGACGGTTGCCTGCATACGATGTGATTTCCCGTACTCAGGGGCAAAAAATTCGTAGTTTGTTTGAAGGTCCAACTAAAATCTTGCCTACGAGAAAAAAGACGTACCAAACTGGATCATTACGGTAGAATGGCCATAAGGGTAATGCGTGCGGCCGACTTCCCTTTGGTAAAGCTTTTTACCGTTTTCGTTATCCGAGGAAGACTTGACGCTTGGGGATCCGAAAGAGTTCACTCTCATTGAGTGGCTTACATTTCTGTATACCTCTTCGTTCTGCTGAAAAGTTCGAATCAAAATTCCCTTGGAGAGAAATTTCAGCCAATAATGTGGCCGATTTTTCGATTCGATTTCAGTACTGATGGGGACGTCTTGAGGAGGACAACTGGCATATATTCTGCCTGTTCCTTACCTTTACTGCGATTGCTCGCTACATATACTTATTACTATACATACAGCTCCCGTCACTAGTATAATTATCTTTTTCAATAGTCTGTCTTAAGCCGCAATCCTTCGAAACCTTCATCCGTTTTGTTTGCTCTTTTCAGAATGCGCTCATTCTTCCTGCTACTAGCTATTGCTGTCATGATCAACGCCGACGGCTATGGAGCTCCACAGGCTCGCGGTTCCATCGCTCCGGCTCCAGCTCCTTATGGTGCACCATACTCTTCGAATCAGGTCGTCGCGATGCCGCAAGTTGTACAGCAGTACCAACCATACACTGGGCTCTCTCATCAGCCTATTCCCATGGGAATACAGCAAGTCGGCATTCCGATGGGTTACAGCATGTACTCGAATGCACCTCAGCAGCTGAATCAGAATCCATACCAACTGTATGAACGGAATTCACAGGTTCCTAACTCCCTCTACGTGAACTACCCCCAACAAGGAGTGAACTACCCCCAACAAGGACTCCAATGTGAGTTATACTTTGTCGCAACTAGCTTTACTACTTTCCAACTACTTTGCGAACACTAAGTTTGTAGCACCTACTACCGCACGGTTGTTTAATAAGCCAGCTCGGACCTGGTAAAGTCCTGTTGGATCCGGTCTGGCCCAAGCTATTCACTGCTGGAGGTGTTGCTTCAATTTACCTGTAAACCTCGTGACGGCGGGAGATTAGCTAGGTGGAAAAGGCAATTTTTCGGAGAATTCTTCCATTCTTCTTACGACAGTGCCCAACGCATCCAGCACTGGAGTCCCTTCGGTTGTTCAAACCGTTTATCGGCCAAGTTCTACTGAAAATGGCCCGAGGGTGGGTTTAGGAGAGTCCACAACGGGACCCTTTCTTCTAACAGCTCGTACCGTTTTCCTCACTTCAGCATAACTGAGAATTTTTAAAGTTGGCTTATTTGCAGTTGTTCAACATCATCAGCAGCAAGTGGCAGCTTCACCACAAACAAGCACAGTGTTGGCTTCTCCACCAACGGCGTCTTCACCACCACCAAGTGCCGTGGTGGCAGCTGTTCCACCAACAGCAGGCACTGCTTTCCTTTCCTCATCAGGTTATGGTACCCAGCCAACAACTGCATCAACTGGACCATATCCTACACAAACACAAACGACATCGGCAGAAATAGGCGTTGAAGAGAAAGGCAAGTTTTATTATGGTCAAATTGTTAAAGAGCTTCTTATTGAACCCCTTAGAATATACCTAAGATTGGTCGCGACTGTGGCCCCTCCATAATAGAATGCCTGGAGCGATGATCAAACTCTTTCGAAGGGAAGGACTCCCTGAGGACTTTGATGCTCCTTACGTTGTTCCTTTCAGGATTGATTGCTGGCCCCGGAGGAGCAATGGTATTCAGTATGCGATTTGATTCTAGGACCGGGGGAGCAGCGCTACTCATCCCTACACCACCCATGGTCACGCCTAAGAGTAATGTGGCCTTCCTCTGGCCAAGGCGGATTTTTAAGGCGGCTTTTAATATGAGCACAAGCCTGGCTTCAAATCCCGGCTCGTAGGTCGTCTGGGCCAGGCACGCTTGCGATCTTAGTGGGATTTATCAAGCGGGAAAGCAGCGGAAGAGGTTGATATGCTGACCTCGCTGCTCAATTGTAATGTACGCTTCGACAGTTATGGTCCGGTTCGTCTGTACGGCGCGGCGGGGACTCTAGCACTTTGCGCAACTTCATCCATGCCGTTTTCCAACGTCTCTACTCTGAAACGCTTTGTGTAGCTGTGTGCCAGCTACAGCACTCGTTGTGTGAACCACAGGAGACGCTTAGCTTGGCCGCCGGGTCCGTAATTTGTTCGCTGTCGGCAGGTGGCGGGGGGGGGTCGTTAGTGCCTCTGACAGAAACTTGTGGGAAAAATTTTTCCAGCAGTCCTCGCTGTTTAGCGTTTTCCTCGTTTCACACTGGCTATATCCCTCTCATCTCCCGACCCTGCGACTAAATTCCTCGCACCGGTGTGTTATAGTTATTTTTTTTTTTTATGTGGCCTTACAGGTGGACCGAGGATCCACAGAGAGCCACTCCTCCTCAGAAGGGGGGGGCACCGGAGACCCTCCCTCGAGAGGTTCGCACAGACACAACGCTATTTCACACCCTCACGAGGCATAATCCTGGCTTGATAGCCAAGCTCGTCCAGCCCACCCGATAAAAACTGCCAACCCTCATAAGGCTCTCTCGATGGCTCGACAGGTCGATGAGAAGTGGCAAAAGTGCAAAAGGTCCGCGCCCTCCTCGTCGCCAAACTGCGCCTTATCGTTTTAAAGGTTGGCCGGGTGGGTGTCGACCTTACTGACCAGCAGAATGAAAACTATCGAGGCTAATGGTTACCATTTCAAAACTTGTATATTCAGGCACGACACTAACTTCTGCAGTCGGTTTGACGCCTGCTGCTCCGGTTGACCCATGGGCATCACTAAGTGCCGCCGTGGTACCAAAGAAAATTGAGACTAGAAAGAAGAAGAACAGCGAAGGATTGTAAATCCAAGGTAATCTCCGAAATTGGCACGTCATTTTCCTTCCTCTGCTCACGATAAAATCCTGTAGTCTATGACTCTCTTTCAAAAACTAGCATATTTACCGAAACTTTGAGCTCTTTGTGAGTTAAATAGGAGACTGTGTACTCGTATTGCACTGATCCGGTGTTTATATACTGTTTCCAGCTTTTCTGAATTTTCCCCCGACAAATAATCTTCTTTTGTAACCAGGGGATATGTCCATTACAAACGCTATTTGCTCTGCTAACAGGAGATTGGCAAGATTGTACTTCAGAAGTGTTTAAAGAGAAACGTAACACGTCTCGGACTGAAGCTGGTTCCTTGCCAGTTATGCATGGTTGGGTCTCGCAGCTGCAGTACGAGACATTCCTCATATATCCTGGACCAGGATGGTGATCCTGGGCCTCCCGCACGCGAACATCATTAGTTGGGTGATTTGGTCCTTCGCATTCGACCTCCCGCCTCTGGATTTCGCTCCTCCGCGTGACTCACTTGTTTTGGGCGGAATTTTGGCGAAATTTCCCTACTGTTCAGTTACCGCAAAAAGTTGCTGTCGAGGCGGAGAGAGGGGGTATACGAATATCATTAAAGCCAGGAAAACCACTAAAACACGAACCACTCGCTCAGACTCTCTCATAAGAGCGGAAGAAAATACGTCCCTCCCCTCCGCCCGAGCGACCAAAACGCCATCCAGCTCTGTTGGGCATCCCAACCAGCAATGTGGCGCCGGCCCTCCACGCCAAACGTACGGTACGCCCACAGCGCCACGCAAATAACTACTTGGCTCCTCTGTTCTGTTATTCTCTACCTCTGATCTGCTTTTCTGGCCAACAGGATCTCTTTGTATCGAACAAGGCTGGTCACGTTGTGTCGGGGAATCCACCCAGCCGCATACTGCCGCTCCTGCCATTTTTCGAAGAATTTTTAGCTGAGAAAGGTCATACATACGTGCAGCTGCGGACCCTTCGCTCGAACATGCACGGACCAGGTTCCATGGTTAGAATTGCACAGTATGCCTTCAAGCCCGTTGCAGGGCATCGAATGTCCATAAAACCAGGATAGAAATGCATGGCGCAGTCGAAAGCCGTATCTCTCATACGTTTTCTGCATTACGAGTCAACATAATCGCAGGCAATCAAACAAAGCTTGTCAAGTAGACACATCAGATCGGAACACCTTTTAATTAAATATATTTGTAGCTCAAATTATTTACTTTACAATGGTTCGCATGTCTCAAGAGAGACTCTACGGATTCGAAACTGCCTACAATGAAGCTGTCTTATTAAGTAGCCACCGGCCGATCGTAGGCGAATTCAAGAATACATGTTGGGTCACCACTCCTCGGCGCTGCTCCCTTTCTTTAATGCAGTAGAGATGAGGCATAGCGTCCAGGAAGGATACCACAAGTGCCGGTCGACCCGCCAATACGGGATGAGCTGGTGAATGCAATTCTGCCAAAGAATTATAGTTCAAATCCGCCGCAATTAAAACTGCAGCCAACACAACTAAGGCTTTTCAGCGACTAGAAACTATACAAATTTTCGCGGTGCATGATATATAATGTGAGAATAAAAGATTTATCCGTAGGGAAGCCTACTCAGCTTGATGATGACCATAATTCGCTGGGTGTGATAATATTACAGAAGTACAAAACTGATCAAAAAACTGAAAAAAATTCGTAAATCTACAATGAAACATTGAATGATGGCAAGAAAAAAGTGAATTATGAATAGAGTGCAGAGGAACTTGTCGGCCTACAGTTTCCTGCACGCACTTCTGCGGACATCTACGACTTCAGAACTGAAAGACGGAGTCGTCTTTGACTATCATTGTACGAGTTGTGTAACGGCGATCAAAGACCGACTGAAGGATCCAGTACAGTCGACGTGAACAGTATACGCTATGACGATTGACATACGCCTACTCACGCGATAAAATAACTACCAGAACCTATAAGAACCTTAGTACGAAAAAGGTGTCTACGGTATTCAAGAAAGAGACGGCATACCGGATCTATCTGTTCGCCACGTATCAACTGAAAGAGAAGCACGACGAAGTAGGCAGAGGATATCGAGGAAGTCCATCAACCCGCACTAATAGTAGGGTATAATGGCACAGGTATCTCGAATATGTTTGATGCTATCTGCAGAAGCCATTGAGCTAGAAGTGTATGTGAGGAGTGCAGCGGGCACAACTGTGAGAATCCGGTGACAACTTTTAGGGCGTGCGAGGCGAAAGAAGGGCATGCAAGTATTAGCTGCCCTTAGTTGTAGACGCTCCTAATAACAGGCGCTGTTCAGAGCCCACATTTTCACTGGGCCTAGATTGCTGTCTCTCAGAGCGACAAACAGTCCCTCCGCCAGGCCAATCTGTAAGAGATTTTGTTCGGTTCCGTGCTACACCCCCTCTCCCTTTTTTCAGAGGGTGGGATCGACCGCCCCCCCCCTTATCCCACCATCCTACTTACGCATTTCCTATATTTCCCCACTCCCTATCACCCGGCAAAGTTTTCCTAATTTTTTACTGTAACACAAAAATTCCCCCCCCCCAGAAACAGTCATCAAAATTTTCTATGCGGCAGCACCGCTTAGGTTACCTTGCTTAATCTACCTGAGAATTGACTGATCCTCTAGCAATCCCAGTTCGAATCCGTCCAGCAGAAGCAGGTGGTCTTCAATTTTTGGGTGGTCAGACAGACACACACACACACAAACAACTTCTGCGTTTTATATCTACATAGATTACCAAAGCTCCAAGATTGATGAATAGATGAGCGATCAGCCAGGCAAGAAGTGGACCATTTGTCGTGCAAAGACGTCTTTGAGTGGTAACAGTCGTGTGCTGTACACCTCCCACGGAAACGTTATACGACCGACATCGCATTAATGGATGCTCGAAATCTGAATGCGATTTTGTAAAGAATTGAAAAAAGTTGTTAATACTTACTAAGATAAAATAAGAGTTGATAGCCTGATCTTTCGTCTTCAGAACAAAATTTTGACTGAAATAAGAAAAAAAAACAAAATTTAGTACGTCCAATTAATCATTTCAGCGGCTTACATTGTTTACGGTTACTTTACTTACGGACTAAAGATGATTGCCTTATAAAGCATTGTGTTGTCACTGGCATCTGAAAGTACGCTGGCTGCCGATAAGTGCTACAGGAAGTTGAAATACTGCATCGGAGCGGTTAACTCGTGATCAGCAACAACACCCTTGTACCGGTTACGCTTGGCAAAAAACGTCAGGGGGGGGCAGCTACTGAGATAGACGATTATACCCCCCCCCCTCTTTTTTTACCAGTGATCCGCCTCCAGACTCCGCCTTCGAGGCACGCCTGTTCAATGAAAACGGAACTGCGGACGAAAAAGCGAAAAACTGTCACTTGTACGGTCGTGGAGTTCTTATCGATGAATCAATTGTGCGGATGACGCTGTGGTGTTGGAGATCGCACTCCACCAAGATCGACGTGCCCTTAAAGGAAGAACCCGCGATTACTCGCTATCTCAGTAGGGTGGATTAGGGTTCCATATTAGACGCCAAGCGTTGATTACTTACGCCGGTGACATACAAAAGTACAAAGAACATGCACTGGCCCCTAGATAGAACCCCCATTTCGATCCCAGTTTGTACGTGCCCAATCAACTCTATCTCCAAAACTACGCCCTCATATGCACGGCTGATTCACCGATAAGATTTCTACGATCGTACAAGTGGCGATTATCATGCTTTTTCGTCCTGCAATCTCATTTTTCACTGGAAGTCGGTCATTAGGGGCGGAGTCTGGGGCGGGTCACTGGAAAAAGGAGGAGCCACTGAACCTATATTGTCGCCTATTGCCCACCCATAGTAATTTTTTTGCCGCGAAACCGGTACAAGTTGTTCGTCGCGGACCACTCTAACTCACTGACGCCATATTTTCAACTTCGATACCTGATCGCGGACCGTGCCTTTAAACGCACAGCATCGATTCACTCAGCTACAATTTCGGATCACTCTTTCATCCAAATCTTGCAGCTGGCCGGTGCAATTTATCCTACGCTAGTCATTCTGAGGAGTTTACCATTCTTACTGCGTAAGGGCGAATATCTTCTTTGTTAGTTGCAGATAGTACCGTTTTTCGTAATTTCAAGACATCCTTTACTTTAGCTTCTTCGTTTTTGATTCCTGTGAATCTTGGATAGCCGCTTCGTGAGGGTGTCGTTAGTATGTCTCTGCCCCTTTTGATATTGTCGTGAGGTGTGCTCCTGCTTGAAATAATTTGTTTTCATATCTCCTGCGCAGGCACCGTATTTTTTCACATTAATCTTTGATATGCGGTGATTTATCTAAGGCGCAGACTCGTACATTTCTGCTTGGAACACTTTGATGAGGGTCCTACATATTTCTGGCGCTTTCCTCCGTTACTATCCGTTTCGCTTTACTGTCGTCCTTTGGTGCCTCTATTCCCATTTTCTGCTGGTTGTGAAAAAACCTCTTTACTTGTAGTCATCCTACTCAGCTCGGTTGCCCATACGGTAGTGATAATGTTCATGATTATGATAATTTCATTGTCGTAATCGTTATTCGTACTATCTTTGCATCGTCGGCTGTCGTTCGTCAGAGAATAAGAAGGAATTCAAATATCGCGTGCAATAGAGTCTGGCCTTCTTTTTATCTTGGCAATTGGAGTAGAAGGAGGGTTTGGCTTCCTAATCAGTGATGAGCTTCTACAATTCATTTTTGATCAATTAACGTCGTGGCTTAAGGTAGTTCTGGTCCATGATCATTTACCCTCGCGGAATAAACCCTAGAGAAGCGTTGATGTAGAACACGACAAGAGCAACAAAGAACAAAGCTGAAATCCTCATCTGGAGCGAGATGCTGGTCAATGCAGGGAAATCCTGAGAAGCCAAACAAAAAGGCAATTCAGGCCACACAGTGATACATGAGATCAGTTCTAATTATGCACGCTACCGTAGTTTGTGTTTGCATAGTTTAACGCTTTCAAATATTTCTGCTATGCAATGATTTTGATGGACTTTTCAAACTATTTGATGGTATGCATATTGGAAGAATATGGAATGTTCATGAATCACTACTAAGAGTGGGATCCAAAACCAAATCAACTTCAATATGTCAAAAACTACTCGCCGGTGATAAAAAGGCGGACAGCATAGCCGAACGTGCCTAAACAAGATGCCCCCCCGCGTTGGCTGCAAGCTTCTTCTGCTGAGTAGGCAACGTGTCTACGAATGGCACGCCTCTCAATTCTATGACGACTTATTACCACTACCATCTGGGCAAAAGGTGGACATGCCGTAGCATTGTGCTTACACCGGACCATGCCGATAAGTGACGACCCATAGATCACTTACTGGAGTACTTGAGCAAAAACAAGTTTTATCCATTTGGCAGCTGCTAGACTTAAATGGTTCCCTGTTTTAACGCCTCCCCAACTATGTAGATAACATCATAGTGATGTGGAGGAATCGCACTAATTAGCACTGCTTCCAGTAGGTGCCGTGACAGTACTGTCACGAGTACAGCGCCCTTTAAAGATATTCTGCACTCACCTCCAAAGGCGGGTCTTTCCATGTGATAGGTGAATGGGTCCGCAAATGTAGTATGTACTGTACTCGTAAGAGTATTGTTAAGGCAAGTGTCGGAGGTCCTGCTGAAGAACCGATGCCTCGGCTGATATATTGAGGTTGATTTTTGGATCCCACTCTCGAAGTGATTCATGAACCCTCCATATTCTTCCAATATTCATACTATCAAATAGTCTGAAAAGTCCATCAAAATCATTGCATAGCAGAAATATTTGCGCAAGAAAGCGTTAAACTATGCAGCAAAACTACGGTAGCGTGCATAAATTATGAAATGATCCCTTGTATCAACTGGTGATCGAGAATACGATAAGGGATACAAGTTTCTGCATATAAGGAAGACGACCCCACCACAGATCCAACGTCGTGCCTGAATTGTCAATTTTTCGCTTGGTTTTGAGGAATTCCCCGCATTGATCAGTACTCTCTTTTCAGATGAAGATTTCAACCTTGCTCTTTGTTGCTCTTGTCGTGTTCTGCATCAACGCTTCTCTGGGAATTCTTCTGCGAAGGTAAATGGTCATGGACCAGAACTATACATCAAAGGAACGGTCCGCGATGACCTATGAAAATGCAGGAGGTTATGTGGGAAGGTAGTGCGGTCCGGAGTGGACAACCCTGTGCCAGTTTCGCGGCGGAAAGTTGTACGGTAAAGGAATTAAGGCGCAAAGTTGCTTCAGTGGTACATCCCTTTTTCCAGTGACTCCGCCTCCAGACTCCGCCTCCAAAGTCGGCCTTCCAGCCAAAAGTAATGCTCCCGGGCAAGTATCATGGAGTGGATGCATTCAATGTCTTGTAGAGTCATAGGGTTCATTACTGGGAATCAGTTTTACTCTACGCTGGGTAACCGCCATGCAGGAAGGCCTAACGGTAGCCGTTTACCAATGTTCCCTTCAGCATTTTCCTCTTCATAGACGGTTCACTTCGGCGAATTTCTTAATTTTCTTACACATTTCTGCAAAATCACCTAGGCTTTTTATCGCGGATCGTGACTTTATGCTTATACCGTAACTGATTCAGTGAATTGCAGACGCTCGGCAGTGATCAAAGTAAGCCCTCCTCCTCCTACCGTGGTGCCTGCCGGTAAGATCAAGGCCAGACATATTGTACTGATGTAGATTACCAGAAAACGTGGAACGATGACTCGAGGGCCGTGAACCTTTTTTTCCACAATCAATTGTAACTGTGAGTCGCTGCCGACTTGCACTGCGCCTCAGAACCTGCCCATATCAATAAATATTTCAACAAATGTGCCTCTTTAGCACTCAGGTAATACGCAGCTCGACAGAATCCGAGCCAGCTTGAAGCAATTTCTAATCCCCAGAGATGCTCCACTCACAAACAGGCTTCTAAGGACTGTTTTAAATTAGTGGAAGGCAGCGGAGGTGCTGCCGTTCGAAAAGAGCGTTGGTGCTCGGCAAACAGTCCTGACCGGTCGAATTGACGAGCATGCGTTTCCCATGTACGTCGTTACAGCGGATTCTCGACATTCCACGTTTGGAAAGAGGCCCGCTGAGCACGAGGCTCCTCCAAGAACCCAATCAATGTTGGCACCAAATCACTTGCTGCTCAAAATACCCAAACGTGAGCATTTTCGGGAATGCGAATCGTGGTGACGAGCATCAGATATGTACTGTGTCTTGCCCAACTTCCAGCTACCCTGAAATGAAGCCCCAAAGGAAACATCAAAGAGTTTCCTGAACTAAAAATACCCATTAGTTCGCGGGGATTCGACGCGATTTTTGGAGCACAGAGAGAGGCCGCGCGTGAAGGTGAGGCGACCAGAAAATGTAAAAAAAAGAGCAACGACTGCGGCCCCCAGTGACCATTATAGAAGAGCTTGTAGCCCATCTCCCTTCATAATTCTCGGGCAGGAAATAAGAGAGCACACCTTCGCTTGTTCAGTGAACCGGTAGTTCGACAACGGAGGTGGTTGGTGCTCTGAAAAAAACCTGCCTCAGTAAAAGCGCTCCAGTTCGCGTTTATGACCGTTTGTGTCTCGGCTGCGGGTCAGCGTTCATCTTCCATTTAGCGATTTTCAAACCAAAAAAGCTAGATGGGAACGGAACCAAGCCTTTAAAGCATTGAAACAAGATCGCGTCGTGCCACCCATACCGCGGTCTGTGTTCGTCGGCCTACCCGTTCATCCACCTACAGCTCAAGCTCGGAGCAAGCACAGCAACATGTGGGAAAATCGACTACTACCGAGTCAAACAACAAGCCCGTCCTCTGACATACCTCAGCGCCTGCAGCAAGCAAAAGCGTCTGCAGCAAGACTGTAGAATAGACTGTCTAATGGTGGGCAAATCCACGCAGTTTCATCGTAAAAAGTCCTACGTCTATAGTAAAATGACCACTGGGTAGATTTGACGCGACAGAGCCTGAGGAATTTCCATCTTTTCGAACAAGGGGCCGGATTTCTAGAGCGAAGCCCCACCAAAGAGGCAATATACTGAGTATGCCCGCCACACGGCATTAGCCATTATAAATGCGACAAAAACTGCAGCGGCTAAATCCGAAACGCAACGCTTCCGTCAATGATTATGGACTGCTTTTCTATCACATTTGGCATCCGAAAATTTATTAGAATTCCTGTATAAATGTAATGAAGATTCACTGTCCTAATAAGCGCGGTTATATGTTGGAACCAGACGTTCATTTTAGTTTTTTCTTCGAAAAAATGTTTTTACATTGTTCTTTGTTACTGTGCTCGTGCTCAGCTTCAACGATTGTTATGGAAGGAGGGCTACGAGGTAAAATATAAACCAAACCAACAGGTGTTGACTTAGAGTATGAATATATATTTAGGTCTGTACTGGAAAGTTTCTCGCGATTTAGAGTGTTTCATTTCAAAGCGATCAAACCTTCTTACTATTAGTGCTCATCGGACTCAATCGAAATAAGCACCGTTCGAATCAGCACACTTTTGCCAATGTGACACCAGTCGACTAATCCCATCAAAAGAAAAACTGGATGGTCGAGAATCCAATGAAGGCTTTTTTTAGTCGTCTGATGTTGAACGTATTTTCCAGAGCAAGGAAATTCTGAAAGTTTTTTGAAAAGCGTGATAATCGCGTCGCGTGAACCCGTCCGGAAGAATATGAGCGGGCGTGAGGTAGAATTGCAACCGCCGATTTCGCTTCAATTTATGGGATAATGCATTTGTGAAAACATGTGGCCCGGGCGTTAACATGCAAAAGAATCGGATCCTTTCTGTTGACAAGTGCTGACAGCAGCTGACGCAATTTTGGGTACATTTCGTCGATTTCTTCACAGTAGGACTCCGCTGTGGTAGTTTGGCCTAGTGACAAAAACTTATAGTGGGTAGTGGGTCACACCAGCCGATGACCATCACACTGTGACCCTAATCTTTCTTTTTTTCGTGAGGATTCGGCTTTGGAAATTGCCTCGGTGGTTCGTCGGCATCCAACCACTGTCCGGAACGTCTCCTGTTATCATACATGATCCACTTTTCATCACAGGTGACAATTCGGTTCAAAAACGGGTCGTTTCTGTTGCGCAAAAGCAGTGAAGAAGAAACCTCGAGACGTGCCAATTTCTGCCGTCACTCAAATTGTGGGGCACCCACTTGTCGAGTTTTTTCACCTTCCCAATGCGTTTCCAAATATCTTGCAAGTGGATGCCAAAGCCCTAGCTCTTTCTGCCTATCTCACTCGAACGCGTTTGGATGGCGTCACGCCTCCACAAAACGCCGTTCAAATCCTTTGTGATGCGTATCATGCTTTAAGTCGATGCTTACGAGATCATACTTCAAGGCTGAAATCTCCAGAACGAAATTATGTGTGAACCATCTCTCGTCACGGTGGGCTTTCTCTCCAACACTATTGGGCCCCCACACCCGGTTAATTTGTGTCGAGCTGTCTCGACTGCGGACTGACCCAATTTGTAGTGAAGAACAATATCGTCCGAAGTTGCTCTTTTGACA